AGAAGCCAGTTGTCCAGTCTGCTTTGCACTGGTGCAGGGGCCCTGGCCACTCAACAAGCCCCTTCGCATGGGAGTGATTCTCTCCCTCCCTCCCTCCCTCCCTCCCTCTCTCTCTCTCTCTGTGTCTCTCTTTGTGTGTGTGTCTCTGTTTCTCCTGCTTATAGCTATCAGGATGGTGGAGGAGAAGCGCGAAAGGCAGTTGGCGAAGAAGGCTGGCCTTGTAGTTTGCGTCCCAAAGGGCTCTTGAAACGAGCTCAGCGGCCTGCCGCTCACCGCCTCAAGCTGAGTTATGTAGCTAGGTGGCTGAGAATGAGAGCCCTGATGCGGAGAAAATGTCGAGACCAGACATTCCAAGCCCTAGACTCACTGGCTCCAACATTGCAGATGTGCACAGCTTACTTCATGCTTCAACGCGAGCTGCGGTGGACAACATCCTACAAGCAGCCAGCTCTGACATTGCCATTGCTGTCATCAAGAAGACCTTGCCAGCACTTGGCTTCCCCGACTTTTGCAGACAGCTTTTCGACCACTGGGGAATTGGATGTCGAAAGCTAAACGACGGCGTGCTTTACACGCTTGCAGTCGAGCAGAGGGATCACTGGATAGTTACGGGACCAGGCATACGCCCCGTCTTGTCAGACAGCGCTTGCATGAATATTACTGGTCAGGCCGGTAAGTTGCTGAAGCAAGGCCGGATGGATGACGCAGTTTTGCTTGTTGCGCAGCAGCTCGTTGCTGGCATTAAGGCTGGACGAAGGAATCACATCATTTGGCGTGTCGTGTCAATCCTGGGATGTGCTTTGATTTTAGCACTGATGCGTGCAATGTACAGGCGCCGCAAACTGCGACGGGTTTATGTAGAGCGCGTAGCTCGCCTGAAGGCTTTGGTAGACGAGAGGGTGCAGAACAACCCATCTGAGGATTTGGGCAAGAGTCCGTGTCCCATTTGCTTGTCTGATCTCTGCGACGGAACCCTGCACGCTGCGGACTTTGAAGACGCGGCCCCTAGCAACTTCGTGGTTAAGCAGGTCCAGCTGATGCGATGTGGGCACATGGGCCATCACTCCTGCCTGTCAGACTGGTTGGCTCGATCTGACACGTGCCCCCTCTGCCGCCTTGCCAGCCCTGCCGCCATCACGGCCGTTGTGCCGGCTGCCGTGTGGCTGGTGGACCCGGCGGACCTTCGGCGCCTGCGCGTGGCACTGGACTTCCAGTTTCCGGACCTTGGCCGATCGGAGCGCAGCAGCCTGTGGCAGGAGCATTTCGAAGGCCGCGTCGAAAGCCCGAGCAGCAGGTGGTGGCCTGATTTATCCGAATCGTCCGAATGGTTACCTGACTTTCGGGGTGGAACCTCTGGCCAGGGTGGAACCTCTGGCTGGGGTGGAACCTCTGTGCGGGGTGGAACCCGCTCTGACTCTAGCCGTGAGTTTGGGGGTGGAACCTGCTCTCGTGGCGGTGGCGGGGGAAGTAAGTGGTAGCTGCTTGTTGCTGATAGCGTCTCAGTATTCCGATCTCGCAACATGGCAAAAAAACAAAACTTTAACAAAACTTGGACGGCAAGGTTTGCATGGGCCATAAACAAGACACAGACATGATCATGACTTTGTACATGTGTTCGGTCCAGGCCGAAAAAGCGGAGTTGCTTACCGACAAGGTTCAACTGCTGGCCAAAGTCCGCGAGCAAGCAAGAGAGCAGCTGATCGAAACCAGGGACTACCTGCGTAGCTTGGCTGCACAGGCCACATGCAGTTTTTGTCGTGTCGCGTGCAGTACAAGCAAGCGAAGGCCAGCAGAAGCAGCAGGAAGAAGTCAAGCAACGTGGTCTGAAATTCAGGCTATCCCTGTTTCTGGGAGGGCTTTTTCAGTTTACAGGAATCAGAGCCATGCCCAAACGGAAGGCTTTTTTGGATTGGCCATGCCACCATGCAGTAACTGCCAGTACTAGGCTGCTAGGTCCTAGGTTTGCCGCCCGGTGACGCCTTCAGTGAGACAAACACCGACACGTTCCAAGATGGCCGTTGATACCACTGTAATATTCCAGAAAGCGCAGGGCAGAAGTTCGCTGGTTGCCACGGGAGGCGGGAACTGGGCGGCAGCCCCTTGTGTAAGGCTATTAAAATAACCCACCCAGCATCCCCTACGGCTGCATGTATTTTCATTGAAGTCCGTCCCAGGATGGAATCTACCCCAGAAGATGCCAAACTCAAATTCACAACTAGCATCCCCATGGCTACATCATGCGTCAGCCATGCGAAACGACTGTTTTATGCTAGTGCTGCCGGCGCTTTGTTTTGCTGAGGAAAGATCGTCAGCGAGAGGACGTGCTGATAGAGGTTGCGGCCAGGCTTGAGTCAAAGAAGAAAGCAAAGAAGGCAGGCCCCGATTTTGCACGGGTACTAAAAGGATCATGTTTCGCACAATTTGCCTCAGGCATGCTTCATGAGAGCAGCCAGCGTTGTTCTTCAGAGAGCTTGGTTCCATTGGTCCCAACCTCCTTGGGTCAGGAACAAGAACAGCGCTTGCGCAAGGAGCTCCAAGAGATGCTCGGTAGTTACGCCTTGGACTGGCTTAAAGAGATCGGCCAGCAATTATGATGCTGGCAGGTGGTATAGGTTGTTATTTGTTTGGCTTGTTTTGCGTGTGTCTTTGTTTGTTTGCTTGCCTGTCTGTCGTCTGTCTGTCCGTTTGTGTTTGTTTGTTTGTTTGTTTGTTTGTTTGTTGGTTGGTTGGTTTGTTTGTTTGTGTTTGTGTTTTTGTTTGCTTGTTTTGCTTTATTTGTTTGCTTGCTTGGTAGTTTGTTTCTTTTGTTGGTAGGTTGGTTGTGTTTGTGTTTCTTGTTTCTCTGTGTTTGTGTTTTTGTTTCACGTGTTTGCGCCACTTTTTTTTAGGCGTTGTTTTTATTTGCTTCTTTTGCTTGCGTTTTTTGCTTGCTTTGTTTTGGCTTGCTTTTTTTTTCTTGCTTGCTTGCTTGCTTGCCTGCTTGCCTGCCTGCCTGCCTGCAGGCCTGCCTGCCTGCCTGCTTGCTTGCTTGTCAACCCTGTGTACCTGATTCAAAGTGAGCATGGGCTGACAACCAAGGATTAGTACCAAGCAGCAGTTCCAGCTGAGCAGCCTGGAGCAACTGGAGGGGAAGAAGAATGCAGCCGCTCGGTGTGAAGGGGCATGAGAGGAGATGCGTGAAATTCGCTTGGCCAGCCAAAAGGAAGAGCACTGCTTTCATCCTGCGTGGTCGCGCAAGTTAGTGAGATTGGTAAGGGGTCAACTGAGTCACAAGCAAAACCCGGGTAAGTGAAGGTTAGTAAGGAACAGTCCCAGCCATGAATAGTTGTGGCCGCGGGTCGACTCTGTTGCAGGACCAAGTGTCTGGACTCTGCAGGGAGTCGCTCCGGCGTCAAAGCAAGCGGCTGGAGCAAAGCCGCTTGGACCGACTGGTCGCCCAGGCTGGGTGTTCCTTGTTTGCAGGCATGGGTGTTGTCGTGTTTACGGGGACCCGCAAAATGGGTGGTTTTCCTTTTGGTTTCCTTTTAAAGCCAGCCAAAAAGGGTACTTCCTTTGAAGATTCCGCGGTTAACATCCCGTACAGACGGACAGCCCATCCAAGAGCCATCGCCTGTTTAGGGCTGCCCCTGAGCTGTCCCTGGGCTGTCCCTGAGTGCTGCGCAGTCGCAGGGGTCGGAGGCCCAGCGGAGGAAGAACGTGGACCTTGGGCGGCAAATGAGATGTGGTTGTGGGCCCCAGGCTTTAAGCACAAAGGCTGTGAAAGATGCAGTGGGGATGAATTGTCTTGAGGAGTCTGACCATCGCGAGTACAAGGATATGCAAGATATATCAGACAGACGCACTGTAAAAGCCAGGCAAGAAGATTCAGCTTTCAAGCCTCTTGGCCATGCGTTGTCCTTTTGTACTATGCCTCTCCACGCCTTGTGTTGCTTGCGGCGTCGTGGCAAGGAAGGAATTGGCGGCATCGTTTCGCCACGCTAGGGACCTTTCGCTCCTTGGCCCGGGTTTTGTGGCGCATCCGATCGGCTCGTGGCTAATTGGGTGGCCATTAGTCCTTGAAAGGAATCGCGGCCATCGGGTTGGTACTCGGCCGCATAGGCGCAGCCACTCCAACAAGCAGATCGAGCTGCATCTCGGATCCAAAAGGATCTGACAGATTCTCAATGCATGAGGTGGCAGTTTATAAAGGTTCCCTGTTGGCCGCCGACAGGCCATGGATCGTGGATTGTTCGTGGATCTTTGAGAATAGGCCATGTGTCTTTTGGGACCCCTTGGCCGCATGAAGCTTGGCGAGCTGCGTGCCTGAGGAGCGGGCACAGCGCCAACCAGTACATGAAACGGACTGCAAGCCTGCCGGCCGCACTGCCGGCCCTGTCCGAGGATGTCACCTGCAAGTTTAATTCAATGAGGTGAGCAAATCCCATGATGCTTGCTTCACAACGGGTTTGCTTTATACACGAGCTGCCACCGTGGTCAAAGCTACCATAGAGACTGCGAGTGACTAGTTAGGAATCCTGGAGGCTAGGTTCTGGCACTTCAGTAGAGTCGCAGTAGCTGGGCAGTTGACGCCTTGCTGAGAGTGTCTCAGCGGGCCGTCCAAAGACACTGCCCCTCGTAGGAGCGGTTGCCATCCCGTGGCAAAGGCAGCCAGGAAGAAGTGTTTTGGGAAGAGCTATTTTGCACACAAAGCACATTTTACAGTCGCGTGTTTGGTTCTCACGGATGCCTTGGTCCAACATCTTTGGCAGCTCTCAGGGCCATTCATCGCAAGATGATGGCTTGCTGGTCAGACCGTGTCACGAAACAGTGACGGGCAATCCCAGACAAGAAGCGAGCTGCCGAGGGGTTGATCCAGAGCTGGGCAAGCCGGAGAATACTGGGACGGCCAGTTGGATTCCCCCAAAAAGAATCAGATGGGTTTACGCCAACCTTTGTGTGATCAAGGGGGGCCCCGATCCACATGTCCCATGAGGTTCACAATTCCACAAAGACCGTGGCAGGCGTTGGCTGCAAAACTTTGGCTGACAAGCCCGCGCCCCAGATAGGGACTTTCTCAATCTGGCCCCGTTTTCCCACGGCCTCTTGGCCTCAGGGCTCGCCAGCTCATCCTGGATCCAGCCTGGCTGGTGCTCGCCGCAGCCCCGGGAAGGTGTCGGAACTGGGAACCCCCACTTTTGGGGTGAAACAAATTCGAGCCATGCGTTGGGAGAGATTTGCGCAGTGCAGGATGGATCCCTGTTCGAATTGCCTGGGCTTTGTTGCCCAGGCCGAGCCAAACCCTTCGAATGCCGCCGCGCCCCCGGGATTAGGGGCCTCACTGGGCCCCTGGAAATTGCAGCTTGGTTTCTGAGGCCTTTCGGCGAGAAAAACAAAAACGGCAACAGCGCAGCCGCAGGTTTCGCACTTGTCCCTCTCACCTGAAAGCAGCTTCCCGGATTCCCTGCCTGCTTCTCCTTTTGCTGTTGCATCCGGCTCTGGAGGCCTCCGCTTCAATGTTGTGCGAGTAACTCGCGTTTCAAGACGCTTCCCTGCTGCGGCAAACGTCTCGCGGCCGGTCTAAGGTGGTGACCACCGTGTGGCCTATTTGGCAGGCGTCGGAATGAGCGCTGCATGTTTTTGTGGCATGTTTCTGCCGGAAGGTGCAGTCGTTAATCGACAGAAGTGACCCACGCACCCTGCAGCGATTGCCTCGATGTGAACCGGAAACGCCTTCTGAGCCTTTGGGGAGCCGGCCTGCTGAGGATTGGCATGAACGCCCACAAGCCAGGGATGAAGCCGGGAGAAGCGGTGGCGTGCGCAAGCTTGTGAGATCAAGGGTGTGAAAGGACGCCTGACGCATTAAGCATGAAGAGAGGATAGCAGAACTTGATGAAAGCACGGAGTGTGGCCACTTGAGGTACAATCCGCCAGTCAGCACATATTTCACGCTGGGGGCCTGACAGCCTCTGCAAACATGGCACCTGGCATTTGGCATTGACGTCCAGTTTTGCTCCTCCACAGCCACGAAAGACAAGCAGCAGGGCCTCGACCAAGGCTTACCCTGAACTTTGGTGATGTGAAGGCATGCACCAAAGCAGCGGTTGGTGGCTCAGAGGCGTGTAAGAAGCCAAATTGGAGGCTAGGCTTTGGTAATAGCATGTTGGCGATACCTTTGTTGGTTAGCTTTGTTTCAAACGAAGCTCGCGTTTGTGGGATGTGGTGTGTCAGTTTGGATTGCAGGTAAGCTGCAGGTCATTTAGCGCATCATCTCTGTATGGGCTGATGAAAATCCACACGGTCCTGCGAATTCAAACGGCAGGTGCTCATGTCGCCCAGGTTCACTTGCAAGCGCGGCGACGGGCCATTCGAAGCGAAATGCTGCAAAAGGCCTGGCAAAGCGCTTCATGTTGAGCCAGCCTGCCGCGCGCAGGCGGCAGACTTCGTCCAAACGTGCCATGCATCGGCCTCGGGCAAACGTTGGATATCACCGGTGGCCGACACCTTTCAGCAGAATTGGTATTCGCCCTGTTTGCTCTCCATGGCCAAAACCCGTTGCATGCAACCATGTGAAGGCTGGACAAGATAGCTCCGAGCATGAATCACCTGCAAAGGCCAGCGCGCGTGGCTCCGTTCTGCAAGCATGCCAAGAACACCATAGCCAAGCCCATGTTCGGAGTGATCAACATGCTTGACAGGGCCACTTGAAGAAAAGACAAAGCAACAAAACCAGAAGAAGCATGCCCCAGCGCCTTTTGCTTGCAAAAAAGTGAGTGCAAAACTGCAGGCCTTGGAGTCAGTGACCACAACTGTGTTCTGAGCGATTCCTGTATGCAGCCGCTCGCTACCTACTTCAAGCAGTAGGTGCACATAGGCTCTGCACACCACGTTGACAAAGAGCGGCCTTCAGATTTGCGAGGGCTTCTTTATGCACAATTCACGCAGAATGCTGTTTGTTTGCATCCAGGTGATGTCCTGAAAAGTTCTTTTCCCGAATGCGTAGAGGAAGGGTTCCCGTTATAGAAGGGGGTCTGGGGGTCAGCATGTGTTCGCCAGATGCGTCGCTGCGTAAGGCCGTGCCATTGAAGAAAGCGTTTTACACGTCGTTTGGATGACTTGAAGCATGTCATTTCTTGTGCCCCTGTGCGGGAATCGTAGCTTTTAAAGCTCGATGTGTCGTTTCGCTGCGCAGGCGCAGTGTTTTGGAAGGCTGCGTGTTCTCGTTGCCGTGCCAGTGGGATTTGCGACCCAGAGGTGGTTGTTTTGAGGTGTCCTGCTTGGCAGGCGCGTGATAGTGTTTGCGCCGGTGCCGTTTTCGTTGGCCCTGTCGTGCAATCGGTCGAAATCATGCTGGTGCTACAGTCCCGCGCTAGTTTTCCGCGCGCAGTGCGAGAGTGTCAAAGTCTGATTTCGTGGCAGGCGCAGCATTTTGAGCGCTGCGCGTGTCGCTGTAACAGGATTTTTCGCGACAGGCGCAGCACTTTATAGCTTGTTGTGCAGATGTCGTGGCAGGCGCAGCACTTTAGGGCTTTTCGTGTAGATTTCGTGGCAGGCGCAGTGCTTTCTAGCTTGCGCGCCGATGTCGTGGTAGGCGCAGTGGGTCGAATTGCTCTCGCTGTGGCGCAGCGCACTTTTCGAAAACGCAAAGCGAACCCTCTGCGCACTTTGGGTGGGTGCAATCTCTCTCGCTGTGGCGCGGTGCACATTTTGCAACTGCAAAGTGAATGCAAAGTGAACCCTCTGCGCACTTCGGGTGGGTCGAATCGCTGTCGCTGTGGCGCGGTGCAAAATTCAAGGGTGGGTCTTTGGGTGGGTCGCGTCGCTCTCGCTTTGGCGCGGTGCACATTTATTTTGAGAATGCAAAGTGAACCCTCTGCGCACTTTGGCATTTTGAGAACGCAAAGTGAACCCTCTCCGCACTTTGGGTGGGTCGAATCGCTCTCGCTGTGGTGCGGTGCGCATTTTGAGCATGAACCCTCTGTGCACTTTGGGTGGGTCGAATCGCTCTCGCTGTGGCGCGGTGCGCATTCTGAGCTCGCAAAGTGAACCCTCTGCGCACTTTGGCTGGGTCGAATTGCTCTCGCAATGGCGCGGCGCGCAATTGGAGTCAGAAGTGTCGTTCAGAAGTGTCGACCAGGAGTGTCCATTAGAAGTGTCGTTCAGAAGTGTCGATTAGAAGTGTCGTTCAGACGTGTCGATCAGAAGTGTCGTTCAGAAGTGTCGATCAGAAGTGTCGTTCAGAAGTGCCGTTCAGAAGTGTCGTTCAGAAGTGTCGATTAGAAGTCTCGATCAGAAGTGTCCATCAGAAGTGTCGTTCAGAAGTGTCGATCAGAAGTGTCCATCAAAAGTGTTGCTCAGAAGTGTCGGTCGGATGTGTTGCTCAGAAGTGTTGATTATAGAAGTATGGAGAGAGGGAGAGAGAGAGCGTGAAGAGAGTGAAGAGAGAGAGAGAGAGAGACAGACAATCAGAAGTGTCAATCTGAAGTGTCAATCTGAAGTAGTGTCGATCAGAAGTGTCGACCAGAAGTGTCGTTCAGTAGTGTTCATTAAACAAAAAACGTGAGAAGTGATGTGACAGCTGCATCTCTCAGAAGTGTCGCTCAGAAGTGTCGCTCAGAAATGTTGCTCAGAAGTGTCGCGTCGCTCAGAAGTGTTAATCTGAAGTGTCGATCAGCAGTATCGATCAGAGGTGTTGTTCAGAAATCTTGCTCAGAAGTGTCGCATCGCTCAGAAGTGTGGCTCAGAAATGTCAAATAGAAGCGTTGCTCAGATGTCTCGATCAGAAGCGTCGACCAGAAGTTTTCATCAGATTTGCCGCTCGTGTCGCTCATGAAGTGTCGCTCAGAAGTGTCGATCAAAAGTGTTGCGCAGAAGTGTCGACCAGAGTGTTGCTCGGATCGAAGTGTTGCTCAGAAGTGTCGATCAGAAGTGTTGCTCAGAAGTGTCGACCAGAAGCGTTGCTCGGATCGAAGTGTTGCTCAGAAGTGTCGATCAGACGTGTTGCTCAGAAGTGTCGCTCAGCAGTGTCGCTCAGCAGCGTCACTCAGAAGTGTCGCTCAGAGGTGTCGCTCAGATATGTGTGTGTGTGTAGAAGTGTCGCTCGAATCGTCGCTTAGGAGTGTCGCCCAGGAGTGTTGCTGATGTGCGTATAGAAGCGCATGTGGCTGAGAAGTGTCGCTCGAGGTGTTGTCCGCAGTGTCGCTCAGGAGTATCGCTGAGAAGTCTTGCTCGGAAGTGTTGCTCAGACGTGTCGCTCACAAATGTTTCTCAGGAGTGTCGCTCAAAAGTGTCGCTCAGATATGTGTGTAGAAATGTTGCCCGAACTGTCGCTCAGGAGTGTCGCTCAGAAGCGTCGCTTACGTGTATGTGTGTGTGTGTAAAGTGTAAAAGTGTCACTTGAAGTGTTGCTCAGAAGTGTCGCTCATGTGTGTGTAGAGGTGTCGCTCAGTTTGCCGTAGTCTGTCGCTCAGAATCATGGCTTCAGGATTGGCGCTTGTGTCCCTCTGCATACTTTGAGTGGGTTGAATCGCTCTCGCAATGGCGCGGTGCGCGTTTGGAGTCAGAAGTGTCGTTCAGAAGTGTCGATTAGAAGTGTCGTTCAGAAGTGTCGATCAGAAGTGTCCATCAGAAGTGTCGTTCAACAGCTGCATCTCTCAGAAGTGTCGCTCAGAAGTGTTGCTCAGAAGTGTTGCTCAGAAGTGTCGCGTCGCTCAGAAGTGTTAATCTGAAGTGTCGATTAGAAGTCTCGATCAGAAGTGTCCATCAGAAGTGTTGATCAGAAGTGTCGATCAGAAGTGTCCATCAGCAGTGTTGCTCAGAAGTGTCGATCAGATGTGTTGCTCAGAAGTGTCGATTCTTAGAAGTATGGAGAGAGAGCGAGAGAGAGAGAGAGAGAGAGAGCGTGAAGAGAGTGAAGAGAGTGAAGAGAGAGAGAGAGAGAGAGAGAGAGGGACGATCAGAAGTGTCAATCTGAAGTGTTGTTCAGAAGTGTCGATCAGAAGTGTCGATCGATCGCAAGTTTCGATCAGAAGTGTCGTTCAGTAGTGTTCATTAAGACAAAAGACATGGCAAGAGACGTGACAAGCGGCATTTCTCAGAAGTGTCGCTCAGAAGTGTCGATCAGAAGTGTCGACCAGAATCGTGCAGAAGTGTCAGTCAGCAGTGTTGCTCAGAACTGTTGCTCAGAAGTGTCGCGCCGCTCAGAAGTGCTCATCTGAAGTGTCGATCAGCAGTATCGATCAGAAGTGTTGTTCAGAAGTCTTGCTCAGAAGTGTCGCATCGCTCAGAAGTGTGGCTCAGAAATGTCAATTAGAAGCGTGCTCAGATGTCTCGATCAGAAGCGTCCATCAGAAGTGTTCATCAGAATTGCCGCTCGTGTCGCTCATGAAGTGTCGATCAGAAGTGTTGCTCAGAAGTGTTGCTGCGAAGTGTTGCTCAGAAGTGTCGCTCAGAAGTGTCGATCAGAGGTGTTGCTCAGAAGCGTCGATCAGAAGTGTTGCTCAGAAGTGTCGATCAGAAGTGTTGTTTAGAAGTGTCGACCAGAAGTGTTGCTCGGATCGAAGTGTTGCTCAGAAGTGTCGATCAAAAGTGTCGATCAGATGTGCGAAGTGCCGCGCAGAAGTGCCGCCCAGAAGTGCCGCCCAGAAGTGCCGCTCAGAGGTGTTGCTCAGCAGTGTCGCTCAGCAGCGTCACTCAGCAGTGTCACTCAGAGGTGTCGCTCAGATATGTGTGTGTAGAAGTGTCGCTCGAATCGTCCCTTAGGAGTGTCGCCCAGGAGTGTTGCTGATTGGCGTGTAGAAGTGCATGTGGCTCAGAAGTGTCGCTCAGAGGTGTTGTCCGCAGTGTCGCTCAGGAGTATCGCTCAGAAGTGTTGCTCAGACGTGTCGCCCACAAATGTTGCTCAGGAGTGTCGCTCAAAAGTGTCGCTCAGACATGTGTGTAGAAATGTTGCCCGAACTGTCGCTCAGGAGTGTCGCTCAGAAGCGTCGCTTACGTGTATGTGTGTGTGTGTAAAGTGTAAAAGTGTCACTTGAAGTGTTGCTCAGAAGTGTCGCTTATGTGTGTGTAGAGGTGTCGCTCAGTTTGCCGTAGTCTGTCGCTCAGAATTATGGCTTCAGGATTGGCGCTTGGCGCTTAGATGTGTCAATCAGAGGTGTCGCTTAGGATGGGATTGAAATATCGCTTGTTGTAAGTGTGTTCAGAAGTGTCGCCGTTGCTCAAGCTCTTGCTCAGAAGCGTCTCTCAAAAGCGTCAGTGACAAAAGTCGCTTACGAGTGTTGCGTTGAAGACTATTTAGATGATTTAGAGGTGTCGGCTGATCAGTCGGTCAGAAGCTCAAAACGTCGCTCAAAACATGTCTCCAGCTGGACAACATTGCTCGAGTTGACGAAATGCGCATTCCCAAGGCCATCTTTTGCATTCGGGTTCGTGGTTTCTATCAGGTTTTTGACAGAAGTGTGCACATGACAATCTCAGCTCGGGTTGGCCTTTGACCCTGCTTTGTCCCCTCACTGCAGTGTCGATCTTCGCAAACAAAATGGCTTTCCAGTTTGATGCTCTCTGGCCCGATGCAATCTAGCTTTACCAAAGATTACACAGAACATTGTGTCAAAGCGTACACCATGTCAAAGAAAGAAAGAGAACATCACGTCAAAGCGTGCGTTGGTTTGACTCTTGGGTTCCTAGGCTTTTGTTGTTCAAAGACACTGAAGGGGGAAGTTCAGACGACAACATTTTCATTGAGAGCCTTGCGAGCCTAGCCTTCAAGCAGCGGAGTTTCATACGACCATGAGTCATGTGAACATCCGTTTGGTTCTGTGGAATTAGCTGTCATTCTGGATCTGGATCACGGCAGCAAGAGTGCGCTCACAGCAGACGTCCAGCTGCTCATTGGGGC